ACTCCCCCATCTCTAAAACGATTTTCTTCAAAACTTTTTTTTCTCCTTCTCTTCCTCTTTCCATGTGGACTTCACACTAGCACCTGCTAGTCTTTCTGATATTGTGCCCTAACCACCACTTTTTCCATCCTCTTATTTCATTCCTAATTCTGAGCCATACAGAAAAGAGACTTCACATGTAGCTATAAATCCTGAATGAATTTTTTTGACATTGTATTTGAATTCCACATTGACATAGAATGTTAAAACGCATTTTATCGCTGCTGATTCTAATCAGAACGTCATGACGGTAGCACTATCATTACACCGGTTATTACTGATTCTTCAACCAGTATAATTCGTTCTGCATTTGTTGTTGACTATGTACGAGAAGGCAGCGAAAAGTTGGCCCCCAGCGCCGCTACGCCTATGTAAGGCTTTTGTGTGAGTGTAGGGGACGGTTGTAGATTTACCTCCATCAGGACCGGATCATCAAATCAATCGATGTGTTCGACTCTAAATGTTGTGAGTCCCAATGTCAAATGCCACATTAGCTATCTACAACATCGCCTGTCATTTCTTGACTCTGACGTGACATAAATGACACCGACTAGGACAAATGACACTGACTGGGACAAATGACACTGACTGGGACAAATGACACTGACTGGGACAAATGACACTGACTAGGACAAATGACACCGACTAGCATGTCATGCGGACCGCTGGGATGCAGGTTGAACGCGAAACCGACTTGGCCATTGAATTCAGCGTCTTGCCTGGCCTGCACATGGCCAGATGGCCCCTCACACATGGCCAGATGGCCCCTCACACATGGCCAGATGGCCCCTCACACATGGCCAGATGGCCCCTCACACATGGCCAGATGGCACCTCACACATGACCTCACACATGGCCAGATGGCCCCTCACACATGGCCAGATGGCCCCTCACACATGGCCAGATGGCCTCTCACACATGGCCAGATGGCACCTCACACATGGCCAGATGGCCCCTCACACATGGCCAGATGGCCCCTCACACATGGCCAGATGGCACCTCACACATGACCAGATGGCACCTCACACATGACCTCACACATGGCCAGATGGCACCTCACACATGGCCAGATGGCACCTCACACATGACCTCACACATGACCAGATGGCACCTCACACATGACCTCACACATGGCCAGATGGCCCCTCACACATGGCCAGATGGCCTCTCACACATGACCTCACACATGGCCAGATGGCCCCTCACACATGGCCAGATGGCACCTCACACATGGCCAGATGGCCTCTCACACATGACCAGATGGCACCTCACACATGACCTCACACATGGCCAGATGGCCCCTCACACATGGCCAGATGGCACCTCACACATGACCTCACACATGGCCAGATGGCACCTCACACATGACCTCACACATGGCCAGATGGCCCCTCACACATGGCCAGATGGCCTCTCACACATGGCCAGATGGCACCTCACACATGGCCAGATGGCCCCTCACACATGGCCAGATGGCCCCTCACACATGGCCAGATGGCCCCTCACACATGGCCAGATGGCAGCTCACACATGACCTCACACATGGCCAGATGGCCCCTCACACATGGCCAGATGGCCCCTCACACATGGCCAGATGGCCCCTCACACATGGCCAGATGGCACCTCACACATGACCTCACACATGGCCAGATGGCCCCTCACACATGGCCAGATGGCCTCTCACACATGGCCAGATGGCCTCTCACACATGGCCAGATGGCACCTCACACATGACCTCACACATGACCTCACACATGGCCAGATGGCCCCTCACACATGGCCAGATGGCCCCTCACACATGGCCAGATGGCCCCTCACACATGGCCAGATGGCACCTCACACATGACCTCACACATGGCCAGATGGCCCCTCACACATGGCCAGATGGCCTCTCACACATGGCCAGATGGCCCCTCACACATGGCCAGATGGCACCTCACACATGACCTCACACATGGCCAGATGGCCCCTCACACATGGCCAGATGGCACCTCACACATGGCCAGATGGCCTCTCACACATGGCCAGATGGCACCTCACACATGGCCAGATGGCCCCTCACACATGGCCAGATGGCCCCTCACACATGGCCAGATGGCCTCTCACACATGGCCAGATGGCCTCTCACACATGGCCAGATGGCACCTCACACATGACCTCACACATGACCTCACACATGGCCAGATGGCCCCTCACACATGGCCAGATGGCCCCTCACACATGGCCAGATGGCACCTCACACATGACCTCACACATGGCCAGATGGCCCCTCACACATGGCCAGATGGCCTCTCACACATGGCCAGATGGCCCCTCACACATGGCCAGATGGCACCTCACACATGACCTCACACATGGCCAGATGGCCCCTCACACATGGCCAGATGGCCTCTCACACATGGCCAGATGGCCCCTCACACATGGCCAGATGGCACCTCACACATGACCTCACACATGGCCAGATGGCCCCTCACACATGGCCAGATGGCCTCTCACACATGGCCAGATGGCCCCTCACACATGGCCAGATGGCACCTCACACATGACCTCACACATGGCCAGATGGCCCCTCACACATGGCCAGATGGCACCTCACACATGGCCAGATGGCCCCTCACACATGGCCAGATGGCCCCTCACACATGGCCAGATGGCCTCTCACACATGGCCAGATGGCCTCTCACACATGGCCAGATGGCACCTCACACATGACCTCACACATGACCTCACACATGGCCAGATGGCCCCTCACACATGGCCAGATGGCCCCTCACACATGGCCAGATGGCACCTCACACATGACCTCACACATGGCCAGATGGCCCCTCACACATGGCCAGATGGCCTCTCACACATGGCCAGATGGCCCCTCACACATGGCCAGATGGCACCTCACACATGACCTCACACATGGCCAGATGGCCCCTCACACATGGCCAGATGGCCTCTCACACATGGCCAGATGGCCCCTCACACATGGCCAGATGGCACCTCACACATGACCTCACACATGGCCAGATGGCCCCTCACACATGGCCAGATGGCCTCTCACACATGGCCAGATGGCCCCTCACACATGGCCAGATGGCACCTCACACATGACCTCACACATGGCCAGATGGCCCCTCACACATGGCCAGATGGCACCTCACACATGGCCAGATGGCCCCTCACACATGGCCAGATGGCCCCTCACACATGGCCAGATGGCCTCTCACACATGGCCAGATGGCCTCTCACACATGGCCAGATGGCACCTCACACATGACCTCACACATGACCTCACACATGGCCAGATGGCCCCTCACACATGGCCAGATGGCCCCTCACACATGGCCAGATGGCACCTCACACATGACCTCACACATGGCCAGATGGCCCCTCACACATGGCCAGATGGCCTCTCACACATGGCCAGATGGCCCCTCACACATGGCCAGATGGCACCTCACACATGACCTCACACATGGCCAGATGGCCCCTCACACATGGCCAGATGGCCTCTCACACATGGCCAGATGGCCCCTCACACATGGCCAGATGGCACCTCACACATGACCTCACACATGGCCAGATGGCCCCTCACACATGGCCAGATGGCCTCTCACACATGGCCAGATGGCCCCTCACACATGGCCAGATGGCACCTCACACATGACCTCACACATGGCCAGATGGCCCCTCACACATGGCCAGATGGCACCTCACACATGGCCAGATGGCCCCTCACACATGGCCAGATGGCCCCTCACACATGGCCAGATGGCCTCTCACACATGGCCAGATGGCCTCTCACACATGGCCAGATGGCACCTCACACATGACCTCACACATGACCTCACACATGGCCAGATGGCCCCTCACACATGGCCAGATGGCCCCTCACACATGGCCAGATGGCCCCTCACACATGGCCAGATGGCACCTCACACATGACCTCACACATGGCCAGATGGCCCCTCACACATGGCCAGATGGCCTCTCACACATGGCCAGATGGCCCCTCACACATGGCCAGATGGCACCTCACACATGACCTCACACATGGCCAGATGGCCCCTCACACATGGCCAGATGGCCTCTCACACATGGCCAGATGGCCCCTCACACATGGCCAGATGGCACCTCACACATGACCTCACACATGGCCAGATGGCCCCTCACACATGGCCAGATGGCCTCTCACACATGGCCAGATGGCCCCTCACACATGGCCAGATGGCACCTCACACATGACCTCACACATGGCCAGATGGCCCCTCACACATGGCCAGATGGCCCCTCACACATGGCCAGATGGCCCCTCACACATGGCCAGATGGCACCTCACACATGGCCAGATGGCACCTCACACATGGCCAGATGGCCCCTCACACATAACTTGTGAGTCCACGTTTTAAAGGTGCACCCACTAATTTCCTATTGTGTAGCTTACCTTACTCCCTGTCATCTATGTCTGTTGTGTAACTGACAGATGGTTGACAGATGGTTGACAGATGGTTGACAGATGGTTGACAGATGGTTGACAGATGGTTGACAGATGGTTGACAGATGGTTGACAGATGGTTGACAGATGGTTGACAGATGGTTGACAGATGGTTGACCAATGTTGACAGTCTTTAGGAACCTTACACCAGTAAAAAAATATCCTATCAATATATTAATCAATACGATTAAGTTAATCACTAATTACATTTTGAGTGTACTGGCCTTAACAATAACTCAACACTCATACACTAATCCTCACCCCACCCCCACCCACTTTCCCATGTGAACAACCCTCCTAAACATCTGAGCTTCCATCTGACAGCAACACACAATCCCATTCTAACTATCTCGCTCTATCCCATACTAACATCCCCCCCCCCCACCAGGGTTTGTTCCACCCCCTAAACTTTTCTCTCCGTCTGACCAGGGTTTGTTCCACCCCCTGACTAAAACTTTTCTCTCCGTCTGACCAGGGTTTGTTCCACTCGCTCATGGCGTCACGGTGTAACATGAGCTGTGCGGGCAGCGCGGCCCAGGCGGTGTGCGGCACGGATGGCGTCACCTACCCCTCACGCTGTGACCTCAAGAGGGCGAAAAAATGTGACCGGAAAAATGTCAAGGTCAAGCATCCTGGAAAATGTGCTGGAGGTCAGTTCCATTTTTATCTCAATGTAAGGTCAAATTGTAAGGTCAAATTGTAATGGCGGTTATGTGAAACCATGGTATGGTTGGCTATAGGTGGCTATTTGTTGGTTGTCTCGTGGCTATTTTGTGGCTAATTATCGCCTACTTCACGGCTACTTGTTTCTTTATCAGACACATCAAAACTTTGGCCAACTTTGTTTGGGATCTTTGTCTGTATCGAACATTTGTGTTTCCATACAATATTTTGGGCTCCATAGAGCATTTATTTGGGGCTACATTGAACATTTATTTGGGGCTCCATACAACATTTATTTTGGGCTCCATAGAGCATTTATTTGGGGCTCCATAGACCATTTGTGTATACCCATTTGAACATTAAAGTGAGCTTGCGATCTAAAACCGGATCTGGTAAAGAAATGATTATCTTGAGATCAGTAATTTGTCCATGATAGGCCCATACACACTTTTGATTGGCGTTCTATTTTCAAAGGTTCACTTGTATACCGGCTTCCCCCCCCCCCTCCCCACCAACTATTAAAGTGTAGCAGAGACATATGTTCAGACTTGAATAACAAACCCTAACCTTAAGCCGTTCTTCTTGATCTCTGAACACCTCGCTGTGTCCGTGTGACGTCACAATTGTTTGGAACACCTGTGGCAGGTGCGCAGGTGTTGGTCTAGAGCCGCTAGTATAGAGAGGTTTGAGAGGTTTCAATAGGTTTCAATAGGTTCATTGGGTAGATGGGGGGGGGGGGGGGGGGTGTTATTAAAGGGTGTGGCATTAGGTCAATGGGACGGGTGTCATTAGGTCTATGGGGTGGGTGTCATTAGGTCTATGGGGTGGGTGTCATTAGGTCTATGGTGGGGTGAGTGTCATTAGGTTATGGGGTGGGTGTCATTAGGTCTATGGGGTGGGTGTCATTAGGTCTATGGTGGGATGGGTGTCATTAGGTCTATGGGGTGGGTGTCATTAGGTCTATGGTGTGGGTGTCATTAGGTCTATGGGGTGGGTGTAATGGGGTGGGTGTCATTAGGTCTATGGGGTGGGTGTCATTAGGTCTATGGGGTGGGTGTCATTAGGTCTATGGGGTGGGTGTCTTTAGGTCTATGGGGTATGGTGTCATTAGGTCTATGGGGTGGGTGTCATTAGGTCTATGGTGGGGTGGGTGTCATTAGGTCTATGGTGGGGTGGGTGTCATTAGGTTATGGGGTGGGTGTCATTAGGTCTATGGGGTGGGTGTCATTAGGTCTATGGGGTGGGTGTCATTAGGTCTATGGGGTGGGTGTCATTAGGTCTATGGTGGGGTGGGTGTCATTAGGTCTATGGGGTGGGTGTCATTAGGTCTATGGTGTGGGTGTCATTAGGTCTATGGGTGGGTGTCATTAGGTCTATGGTGGGGTGTCATTAGGTCTATGGTGGGGTGTCATTAGGTCTATGGGGTGAGTGTCATTAGGTCTATGGTGTGGGTGTCATTAGGTCTATGGGTGGGTGTCATTAGGTCTATGGTGGGGTGGGTGTCATTAGGTCTATGGGGTGGGTGTCATTAGGTCTATGGGGTGGGTGTCATTAGGTCTATGGGGTGGGTGTCATTAGGTCTATGGGGTGGGTGTCATTAGGTCTATGGGGTGGGTGTCATTAGGTCTATGGTGGGGTGGGTGTCATTAGGTCTATGGGGTGGGTGTCATTAGGTCTATGGTGTGGGTGTCATTAGGTCTATGGTGGGGTGGGTGTCATTAGGTCTATGGGGTGGGTGTCATTAGGTCTATGGTGGGGTGGGTGTCATTAGGTCTATGGGGTGGGTGTCATTAGGTCTATGGTGGGTTGGGTGTCATTAGCTTATTCGTCTTATTAGATAAATGGTTTCGGTGGCATTTGGTTTATTTGTTTCATTATGTATGTGTGTCAATATTATATTGGGTTAAGTGTCAAGGGTTTATGGGGTCATATGTTATTATAAGATGTTATGTGACTGCTAGCTATTGATGGCCGCATGTCGAACCGACATTTTGGTTAAGTGATCTCCGACAGATCGTCTAACGAAGCTGAACTAATTAACTAATCAACTAATTACTGCCATCTTGCTGGCGCAAAATCTTGTCCCTCTTCTACACAAATAGCCTCTAATTAAATGAACCATAAGGAAATTTTGTTGGGTGTGTGTGTGGGGGGGGGGGGGGGGGGCGGTGACGACGATTCCACACCAGTAAAAGATCATTAACCCTGTTGCGACACTGCCGTTATATTGTCCGCCCCCTCCCCATAAAGCCCCCCGTCCCTCCCGGCGCAGGTAGCAGGATCGCCACCCCCAAACACCTGGCGACGTTCCCACGACCGTACTGTCAATAACCGGACGGGGAGGGAGGGGGTGTCTTACCCAGCTGATCAAGCAAACTCCGGTAAAACGCCGTAAGTCGCCAGGTGATGGCTCTTGTATTGGTCGTGACAAAATGGCCGTCATAGGGCACGGTGCGGCACGGCATATAACGTCAGCGTACACCTGAACCCCCGCCCATCCACACACCCGAACCCCTGCCCATCCACACACCCGAACCCCTGCCCATCCACACACCTGAACCCCTGCCCATCCACACACCCGAACCCCTGCCCATCCACACACCTGAACCCCTGCCCATCCATACACCTGAACCCCTGCCCATCCACACACCCGAACCCCTACCCATCCACACACCTGAACCCCTGCCCATCCATACACCTGAACCCCTGCCCATCCACACACCCGAACCCCTACCCATCCACACACCTGAACCCCTGCCCATCCACACACCCGAACCCCAGCCCATCCATACACCCGAACCCCAGCCCATCCACACACCTGAACCCCTGCCCATCCACACACCCGAACCACCGCCCATCCACACACCTGAACCCCAGCCCGTACAGAGACTCAGCGAGCACTTACGGCGTTTGATCGTTTGGCTTGCACACCTGGAGTACCCCCCCCCCTGGACAAATCTGTCACCTTTACCGGTGCCGCTTCAGTGTTACGACACCCTCGCTCCCCCCTCCCCCCACTTTAGTGGCTCGACCCCTTTCAACTCCAACAACTTGTCCATTTCTTCATTAACCACAAGTTCTCCCCCCCCCCCCCAATCGTTCACTAGCATCTATTTTAAAAATATTTTTTATTAGCTTAAGGTATTGGTGGGTGTGGAGATGGGGGAGGGGGTGTGGGGGTTGGTGGAGTAGAAACAGACATCAACATCTGCGATTCATCTTTATAAGGGTGTGTGTGTGTGTGCGCGTGTGTGTCTGTGTGTAGCAGGTTGGCATAGTTCCCCTACCACCTGGATGATTCAACAAGTTGAAGGGGGTGGGGGGGGGGGGCAAATATGTCTTGCCAGGTTTTCGTCCATTTTAATCGGAGCCGATAGAGTGACAAGTGCGCATGCGTCATACTGCACGTGTCCACAAATAAAACTTTAGACAAACATGCGACAATTGAAGAAAAAAATGTCACAATTTTTATTTTTGAAAGCATAAATGTATAAAATCTTTTAAATCTTTACCTTTATGTTTATCTCCACCTTAACATTTATTTATTTTTATTTTTGCCAATTTAATTTTTTTGTTCGTTTTTATAATTGAAGAAAAACCCCGCCTTGAGAAAAACCACATTATCTCCAGTAACGCTTATTGATTCCCATTTGCCGTTTTAATACACTACACATTTTCACGATAAAAATGAGTTTCCGTTGGTATAGGGTGAGTAGAACGACTACAGTTTATTCTCTTTAAGAACGACCCTTACATACAAATTGTTACCAACATTCAAACATGTCCGATATATATCTGTCCGTTCGTCCGTCTGTCTATCGTCTGATGTTCACCTACCCACCATATATCGTGGTAGATCTACGCCTACCCGTGTAAAATAAAATCTACGGCCGTAAAGCACCCCCACCCCACCATGTAAATTGTCGACTTCACCTGACGACCAGACACCTGTGGCGCTAAGTCCGCACCTGGACGCGTGAAGCAATGCTCGAACAATGCAGGACTCGCGGGGGCGGGATGGGGCGATTACCACTGCAAATATCCCGGGAGAAATGCTCCATGTTTTCTGACGCTACCAACGGTCGGCGCAAGGGGTCTAAGTAGTTGTAAAACAGATTGAATGGTTGGCTTAGTCTGGTTTCTGTGTGACCAACCCGCCCCTCGCCCACCCCGTCCTCTCGTATTGATAGTTCAAGTACAAGAAAAAGTTTAAATAGAAATGTTTTCAATAGCACTCACAGGTATTAGAACATAGAAATAGAAATGTTTTCAATAGCACTCACAGGTATTAGAACACAGAACATCTTGACTCACACACACACAAACCACACCCAATTTCTACAGGTACTATACCCCCCCACACACCACGCCCAACTTATACAGGTACTATACCCCCCCCCCCCCACACACCACACCCAATTTCTACAGGTACTATATCCCCCCCAACACACACCACCCAACTTCTACAGGTACTATACCCCCCCCCCCCCCCAACACACACCACCCAACTTCTACAGGTACTATACCCACACCCACACACACACGCCACGCCCAAGTTTTACAGGTACTATACCCCCCCACACACACCACACCCAACTTCTACAGGTACTATACCCCCCCACACACACACACCACGCCCAACTTTTACAGGTACTATACCCCCCACACACACACCACGCCCAACTTTTACAGGTACTATACCCCCCCATACACACCACGCCCAACTTTTACAGGTACTATACCCCCCCATACACACCACACCCAAGTTTTACAGGTACTATACCCCCACACACGACACGCCCAAGTTTTACAGGTACTATACCCCCACACACACACACCACCCAACTTCTACAGGTACTATACCCCCACACACCACTTCTACAGGTACTATACCCCCACACACCACGCCCAACTTCTACAGGTACTATACCCACACACACACACACGCCACGCCCAACTTCTACAGGTACTATACCCCCACCCACCA